AGTGGTCTTTCGTGGCCCTATTGCTTGCTTCCTGTCGTTCCAGCTTGCATCTGAATACTACCATGACGGACGTCGCAAACCTCGAAGCCGCCTTTGAGCGCACCACTATCCACGACGAGAACGATGAGCACGTCACTTCTACATCGACCTACCACAAGGTGAAGGTGTGTATCCACTCGCCTTCTCAATGTTGCGCTTTCTAACAGCACCAAGCCTTCCGCATCCACAACCGTATCGGTAGCTGGCCTATCGTCCTCCCAATCAGCTGCGAACCGCATGAAGCTGCCCCATCAGACACTACAGAAGCTCGCAACGCAAAATGCAAAGACTGCAAACATCGCCAAGGTTACCATCTCAGCAAGCTCCAGCCGACCCTCAGAACAGCACCAATCACATCGCCGCACGCTCACCGACTCCGCCATCTACACCGTTCCCTCAAACCCTGCAACACCCAAACAATGGCATCTGGGCATGTTTGACATTGGCAAGCCTCTCGGAAAGGGAAAGTTTGGTCGCGTCTACCTTGCCAAGGAGCGCTCATCAGGCTTCGTGTGTGCCTTGAAGGTGCTCCACAAGTCTGAGATCCAGCAAGGCAAAGTCGAGAAGCAGGTCCGACGAGAGATTGAGATTCAATCACATCTCACGCACCCCAATATCCTCAAGCTCTTTGGCCACTTCCACGACGCAAAGCGCATCTTCCTCATCCTCGAATTCGCTGGTAAAGGAGAATTATACAAGCACCTCCGCAAGGAGCAACGCTTCCCCGAATGGAAGGCAGCACAATATGTAGCCCAGATGGCCGCAGCACTCAAGTACCTCCACAAGAAGCACGTCATGCACCGCGATATCAAGCCCGAAAACATCCTCGTCGGCATCCACGGCGAGATCAAGATTTCCGACTTTGGTTGGTCGGTACACGCGCCCAACAACCGCCGCAACACCATGTGCGGAACTCTCGACTACCTGCCCCCGGAGATGCTTCGCGGTGGCGGCAAGGACAACTTCTACTCCGAGAAGGTTGACCTATGGAGTTTAGGCGTCCTGACGTACGAGTTCCTAGTCGGTGAAGCGCCTTTCGAGGACACCCAAGTCATGACACAGCGCAAGATTGCGAGGGGAGAGTACACAGTCCCGAGCTTCGTCAGCTCAGAAGCGCGGGATCTCATCAAGAAACTACTCGTGCTTGACCCTGAGAAGCGCATTGCGCTTGAGGATGTCGAGGTACACCCCTGGATCCTCAAGCACTGCAAGGGCAGCTCGCGAGCCTACGAGCGCACATCGGGCGGCAAGGTACGCAGCAGCTCGGAGCAGTCTGAGGAGAGCTACTAAGCTTCGTCTTGCTGGTGTCCCAAGTTCACATAATGTCTAACATGTACGACGGCGAAGGGGCGTTCCGCACGGTAGTCACTGAATTTCTTGTCTTTAGTCGCATTGCTCGGCGTCTTGGGTTTGCCGCTGGCGTTGGTTGGTATCGTAATTGGAGATATATCCCACAACTCATTCAATTCAAGGATTCCAAGCTTGACACGCAAAGCACCATCTGATATGCTGTATTAACATCGTCAAAGGACTTGCGTTGGTAAAAGAATTTTGCATCATGCCCCACCACAGCACCCTCAATGCGCCTCAACCCCCTCCCCCTTCTTCTCCCCATGCCTAAAATCAGGCGTACTAGGCCTACTCCTCTCACCCCCAAAGAACGCAATATTCTCCCTCAACGCCACATACTCACTATCTGCATAACCCAACGCCTCGCTAATCTGCGTAGAATGCAATCCTTTGATGCGTCTGATCTCCGTAGCAGAATAGTTCACCACACACCTCCCTATCTCAAACGGCGCGGGATTGTGCAGTTCGAAATTGGGCGGATGCTGCAATAGTGTCTGGGAAGAGGACATCGAGTACGATGACGAAGACGAGTGCGTGAGTGGTGTTCGGATAGGAATTGGGGCGTGGACACCGTGGGCTAGGGCGCCGGGTGTATTGGGCGGCTGGGGCGTTGGTGGTGTTTGAGTCGTCGGTTTGGGGGAGTGAGATGGGTTGGAGAGGCGTTTGACGACTACAATGCGTACGGCTTCTTGTTGGGCGAAGTGGCCGTCTACTTCTACGATTCCCACGGGGAGGAGACCCGCTTTGTCGCTTAGGGCTGCCCACGCGCCTTGGTCGATGTAGATTGTGCCGTGGGGTGCAAGACCGTGGAGAATCCAGAAGTAGCGGTCCCGGATGGGGTTGGATATGGGTAGGAAACGGGTGTGGAGGGGGACGGGCTCTTCTGGTTTGGGCGAGGAGAGGCCGGTGAGTTGTTGGTTGTCTAGTGTGGATGTGGATGTTGAGAGGTCGTGGTTGGAGTCTTGAGATGCTGCTTGTGCAAGTGGTGCGCCTTCGTCTTGGAAGTTGGTGACGGAGTTTCGACTTGACATCCGCGACTTTCTTTGCTTCTCGGCGTGCGCGATGATGCCGGAGATGTTGCCTGGTTTACTGCTCTTTGTGATGACTGTTGTGACACCTGCACTCGTTGCTAGTCTTGCGGCCACGATCTTTGTGCTCATACCGCCTGTTCCCAGTGAACTGCCTGCTGAACTGACGTCTGCTGCCAGCTCCGCAATGTCTTCTACGACAGGTATGGACTTGGCATCTGGATTTGTACGAGGATTCTTGTCATACAGGCAATCCACATCCGTCATGAGGAAGAGATAATCCGCCTGGACCATGGCCGATGTAATGGCGCTCAGCGTATCGTTGTCACCAAACTTGATCTCAGTAACCGCCAAAGTATCGTTCTCATTCACAATCGGAATGACACCCATGCTCAGCAGCTCAATAAATGTGTTCTGCGCATTCTGATACTGCGTCCGGTCCGCAATATCATTACGTGTCAACAGGATCTGAGCAATCGGCTGCTCCAAATGGCCAAACAGCTGGTCCCATAGAGACATCAGTCTACTCTGTCCGATAGCAGCGAGCGCTTGAACTTGTGGGAGGTGTTTTGGACGACGTGGAAGGTTCATGCGCCGTAGACCGACACCAATGGCGCCCGAAGACACGATTACGACGCGGTGGCCGGCGGCGCGCAGACTGCATGCTGTCTCGACGATGAGGGAGAGGATGGAGAGGAGGGGTTGGTGGGTTTTCTCGTCGACTATGGATGAGGTTCCTGGGTATGTTGGTTAGGTGCTCTCTTCTTGTCGATGTGGCATATGTACGGTTGTGTATTTACCGAGTTTTATTACCACGGTGAGCTGGCCGGGCTGCTTGCGCATGTGGACGGCCATTGCGACGGGGGAGTGACGAGGGGCTTAAGGTGACGATGGCTACAATCTTGGACAGAAGGAGACGGTGAGATATGTACAACACGTCGTGTACTATATGAACACGCAGCTCGTGTGTTGTCGCGCAATGGATGACTGTAAGCTGCCCAAGTTTCCTCGCAAGCGATCTTCGGCTTCCCTTGTACGCGGTGACGTCTTCCCTCCGATTGGCTCCCCGCGCTACCAGCTGCATCTCCATCTCCACCTAAACTTTTCGCGACGGCTGACGGGAATCAGGAACATGCCACGCCCTACACCAAACATCTATACGCCACGCGACACCTGCGCGCCCAACACTTGATCACCCCGTAATCAAACTCGAACGTCACTCCACGCCCTATCACGATGGCAAACCCCGAGACAGCGCCTGACGGCGCATCCCTTTCCGCAATGGCCCAACCGCCGCCCCAAAAAATCGACCCCGTATACTACACATGGAGCAGCACCTTCAACATAATGCTCGGCCGCATGACAGGCTCCCGCGACATCGAACTAGAAAAAGGCTACTTCAACGAAATGGACAAGATAAAAGCCGACTCGATATGCAAGCGCTGCGAGTCCAACAAGGAATACCTCTTGAAATACAGTCCCATCATACGCTTCATGTCGGACGAAGTGTACAAACTAGGCGGCGACCTGAACAAAGACAATATACTCTGTCGCATGTGCTCAAACGAGCAATCCGGCGGTTTCTCCCTCGACCACGGCATCCTGCTCTGCGCAAACAAGTTCCGGAATCGCGGGCATCAGGAAGATACCATGGCGCATGAGATGGTTCACGCGTGGGACCATCTAAAGTTTAAAGTCGAACCTGAGAACCTGCGCCACCAGGCTTGTCTAGAGATTCGCGCATCTACACTCAGCGGCGAATGCCGTTTCTCGAGAGAGTTCTTCACGAGGAATCAATGGAATATCATGGAACAATTACAGTCTTGTGTTAGGAGGAGGGCGACGCTGAGTATGATGGCGAGGCCGGGCATAAAGGATCAAGAGCATGCTGGGAAAGTAGTGAATGAGGTGTGGGAGAGTTGTTTCCGGGATACCAGGCCGTTTGACGAGGTTTATCGATGATCGTGAGAGGAAGGAGATGTGGTTGGTCGGTTCGTTTGAACACACATGATCTTGATCATCGTACGTTGCTGTGTTGATGGATCATCTCATTTTGATCTATTAATACGGCAACGTACGATGATCAAGATCATGTGTCGTTTGAACATGTGACTGAAGCGGTGGGTTGTTGGTGTATTATTACTATTGTGTTTGCATAGCGATGGCGTTTCAGAGAAAGATTTCAGAGGGGGCAGTGTTGCGCACATCTCCTCTCTGTTCGGTTTAAGAGTAAAACTCTTGATTACTCACATCATTCCTCAGTCCACGTCATTTTCAAGTTTTGGAGGGTGGTGTTTTGGCCCCCAACCTTTGAAATTACGGATTAAGCCATGGCGTGCATCGCCCGAATCGCGGGGCTGCAGGGCGTATTTTCCGCCCTTGATTTTCGCTGCGCCGCAACAACAATAGGCGGCTAGCACAACACTGCCCATATAGTCAGGGCGCCTTGAAACCCACCGACATCATGGACGCCTATATACAACGTGTAGATATTTCGCGATGCGCATCCCTCTTCCATCTAGTCTCGTTGCTTCAACACACCGTCTATCACATCCAAACTCAAGTCTTTCTAAATCTATCATAATGCTACCACACACCCTTCTATACACCCTCTTCATCGCAACATCCTCAGCAGCATTCATCCCCCCACCCCGCATCCCCAACCCACCAAAACCCCAAATCATCGAACCCATCGCACCCGCACCAGCAGCACCCAACCCATACAGGCCAGCCGACCGACCAGACTCTGAAGCGACACCAGGCTTTGACGCACCTGAAATGACTGGAGGCTTCCAAGCACCTAAACCGACTGGAGGCTTTGAAGTGCCTGATGTGCCCCTACCTGATGACGATACCGCTTCGAAAGTCGCGTCTAGGCCGTATGGAAATCCAGCGAAGACTTTGTCGCCCGCACAGGTGGCGGCTTCTCTTGCTGCTTCGAAGTCAACTATGACTCAACCAACTGCGACTCCTACGACAGGAATGACGGTGCCGGCTTCGACTGGTGGTGCGGCGAGGATCGAGGATGTGGGGATGGGTATGAGTTTGGTCGGCTTGGTAAGTTTCCTTGTAGTGATTTCTAAGATTGGTAGCTGATTGCGAATAGGTTGTTGTACCGTTAGCGGCAGTCATCCTCTGAGCTTTGCGATATTGATGAACAAAAATACCATGCCGGTGCTCAGGTCTGCTGGAGCTACTCCGGTTCATGCTCGAGCGAAATCGACAAATTCGCGTTCGATCGGATCTTCGCGTCCGCCTGTCCTCATGTCCCTCGGGATCCAGAGATGCTGGGGTCATGCTGATCCCAAATCTCTCTGGAAACGAACCTGGAGGTATCAAAAACAAGCGCGATGCGAATCATGAGCTATGTCGATGGAGCGGGTGAATCTCCACACTTCCATCGACGTGGGAGAGGAAGCTTCGAAGGATATTTGACGAAAAGTCAGGTGTAAGGAGGTGATGCGTCTCTGAGCCCGTTCGGTGAGACCAAGAAGCTTTGATCGCCAGAAGGGGATAGCCATTGCCATTTTGCAAAGAGACGTTCAGATGTGTACTGGCGTCCATGTGTAAATGAAGTGACTTTCGCTCACCACTATGGGTATTCAATTCAATGACCTCCCAGCTTCTCCAAAAGTCCAAAATGTGGTTTGGCACAATGTGGTTTGACATCTATCATGTTGTGTCGTTTGCTTGGCTTGCCATCTTTTTGCGCGATCGCCTTCGGAAGAGATCATCATGAGTTACATGTGCGCCGTGGACTTCGGTCCGAGGATTGCGAAATGATGTGAAGATACACCTATGTGACCTTTGCGCGGCGCTGGATTTCGTGGGACTGATCGCAGCCATGGAGCTTGACTCTGAAGACGTAGATGACTAAACATCTGTTTCAACCTGGTGTTCTTACCTCTTCGGCGTGGAAGTCTTCCTCATGTCGATGTGAGGCGGCGCGGTATTCATAGAATCTCTTTCAACACCCCTTTCCGTTTTTCGCTGTTCAAATACTAAATCTGGAGATGATGTGAGCGGTGTGTTCATGTGAGGGCTCACTGGGCCTAGAAGATGAGGAGCTACAAGGTTGGGCACGTATCGATCTATGTGCCAAGCCGCTAGTCACCTAGCCCTTTCCCTGATCACTTTTCAACGCGCATGCTTGCTCTAGCAGCTCAGCCGTCATTGCAGGTACAACCCAATATTTGTTTGTATACCGGCGCTTCTTCGTGTTCGAAGATGCAATCATCTTAACACTCTTCGTTGGTTGCGCGTAAGCTCGTGGATTAGTATAGCATCCGCAGATGCCGTTGACCTCCATCATTTCCGTGATCACTCATCCCGTCATCTACGCTTCCAAGTAGCCGCGCCGTTGGACGGAACCCATTTTTTCCGCACAGTCGCTCCGCATTTGCACTACGGCCATGGTGGCATTCCGGATGAATGTTTCACGTTGTACATCTGCAATAATCGGCCAAACAGAACACGATTTAGACCTTTTGCCACTGACCGGCCAGCCGTACCCCCTGTTCTTCCGAGCCGTTCCCCATGATAGCACGCTTCCGGATGCCGATTTGTGGGTCAAATGCCTCTTTTCGCATAGCACTGCTGTCAAGCATCGTCTGGACTTGGCTTTGGTGCTTGAAGTGCTTGTGCTTTGGGGTCGGAAATGACGAGGCTGCAGTTTTTCTACCACTACAGCGGCCGAGCGCAAGATTATGTGGCGACTAGTCGGTAATATGCAGGTGGCTCTTCAACAGATTATCTGGGGACCCCAAGGCCCTGCATACGTTTATATAGCGTCGTCGATATCCCGTATACTCATCTTCACCTAACGCTCACGTCAGATTCAAACCTTCAGCATGCGATTCCACGGTACTAATAGCACTTTGCAGCTTAGACCATTTCTGTACTGACGAACTTACAGCTGCATCATCATTGGCTCTTGCCACTGCGGGAACTGTATCTGCCGTACCTTCACCTTCTGCAACTGGGACCGATGCCTGCTACGTGACGAAGTACGCCGATATCCCGGCTGCAGTCGCAGCTTGTACTTGCATAACCCTTGATGGCATCACCGTCCCTGGAAACTCAAGCATCGATCTTTCGAAGCTGAAGACTGGAACCAAGGTCACATTCAAAGGAAGAACCTTCTGGGAGTACGCCGATGCGAACTATGCCTTCATCAAGGTGGCAGGTACCAATGTTGAGATCACTGCCGAAGAAGACGCAGTACTTGATGGCAATGGTCAGGCTTGGTGGGATGGCCTTGGTAGCAACGGAGGCGTTACCAAGCCAAACCACTTCATTGAGGTGAAGGTGCTTGGAAAGAGTTCAGTACACGACATCTACATCAAGAACTATCCGGTGCACTGCTTCAGTATCAGCAACAGCGCTGGTCTAGATGTCCACCACATTACGCTGGACAACAGCGACGGATACGCGCCCAACAACCGCTCCAACGGCCTTCCTGCAGCACACAACAGCGATGGATTTGGTCTGAGTAGCACCAATCACACCAAGGTCCGCGACAGTGTCGTTATCAACCAGGATGATTGCGTAGCTGTCACCAGTGGAGATAACATCCACGTCAGCAACATGTACTGCAACGGCAGCCACGGTCTCTCCATCGGATCTGTGGGTGGAAAGTCAAGTATGCCATCCCACCATCCGTCCATACAGTAATCATGCCTTACTAACCACATCTATTCAGACAACAACGTAACAAACATCTCATTCACAAACTCCGTGGTTCTTAACGCCGAGAACGGAGCCCGCATCAAGTCGAATTCCAACACCACCGGTTTCATTTCCAACATCCACTACGAGAACATTCGCGTTGAAAACATCTCCATCTACGGAATCGACATCCAGCAAGATTACCTAAACGGCGGGCCAACTGGCAACCCCACGAACGGTGTCATCATCCAAAACATCACCATGAAGAACATCTTTGGCACGGCAACAGAGGAAGGAAAGAACTACTATATCCTTTGCGGTGAAGGAAGCTGTAGCGACATCAAGATCGACAACGTTCGTATCACTGGCGGCGGAGAAGAGAGTTCATGCAATTTCAAGACGGAGGGCAACTTTGACTGCGATGGACACTTTGTATGAGCTGGCTATCTCTGTACTTCCATATTTCATTCGCAGAGTGCGGAAACCATGCCGCGTGTCAACAGAATTGAATAGTCGTTCCAACTACCGCGCGCTTTGAAGGTTTCACAGACAATCCCTAGCAATATCGTTTGCAGTTTCTGAGGACCAGAGTTCAAGCGATAAGTAGTAGTATGTGGGCCGGATGGATGGGGCCCCAGAGCGATGTAACACCAATGTTGTCAGAGTTGAACTACGCCGTACGTTCGGGTCATGGTGCTTCTTAACGTGCCTGCGCAAGTACCGTGTGAACTGCGCGCACGCGCCACGTGACGTAGAATTCAACGTTGACCGGGCGTCGCGCCAACCACCTCGCGCCGCATCCAAGGTTCAACCGCTCCTGACTCTCACCCAAACTTTGCTCGTCGTTTTGAGCAAACCGTTCGCGGTCTGGACGTCCTCGAGAGTGCCGCGGCGGTTCGGGTCCCGAACGACGCCGTCGCTTTCCAGGGACACGCCATTGTGGATACGCGCTCACGACGACATGGAAGAGGCGCGATGGAGTTAATTACAGTACGTCTTCGTGATTAACGCTCCGTCCGAATTCACATACCAAGCAACCAAACGCTCTAGCTAAGGCTGTTATCTCGAACTACTGCAATTTATCCGGCCAATTCCTGCCCGTTATGGCAGAGTCCCGTCTCCTTACATTACCCTACACTAGTCGATATTTCCTTGGATCGCGCGTGGTTACGCGATGACCTCGAGCTACAAGGGCATCCTCAGCGATGACGGACTGCAGTGCGGCAGCCCAATTGTTACAATCACAGTCCCAAAGCGTTCATTCGCTGCTATCGTTTATGCATGGGGTACGTGCTCCTGCCGTCAGCACTCCATTCTGTCAGCCACCGCGTCTCAAGTAAGTCGTCGTGGGAAGGGCATTCGAGTGCTGATTGACGTGTGCGCGCTGTGAGGGAGTCCTTCCTCAATGTACAATGGCCGCCGTGCTACCTCGTCCAACGCCCGACCGGCTGTCGAGCTGCGATAGCTGCGTCTGCGTTAAGCGAAGGCGTGATGCCGAAGTTCGGCGTGCAGGAATGAATCCTGTCAGGTCCCACCAAAAATGTCACTCATCACGGCACCAGCACACTTCGAGAAGTTACCAGCGGTGCGTCATCCAGGTACCGCGCGCTGCATGCCCCTTACAGGGCCTAGTGTTCGGATGGATTCGTTGCGGATGGCCTGTTGCGTTTCTGCGATAGGTGCGTGTTGCTGCACACCATGTCTGTGCGAATCATCGCCTCGCGCAGCCACCTTGTCCGGCCACGTCTCGACCCGGCTCGAAAACTGCCTTCAGACGGCGCTGAAAGAGACTTGAGCAGTCGATGCGCACACTATCTCTTTCATTCTCGTCGCTTGCCCTCGTGCTCTCCCAGCCCCTACTACGGTTCCTTGCGGCCACCTCAAACACGCTACATATTGGCATGCCTGTCGTAGCCTCAGCCTTGCCCCAGCTTTGAGGCCAAACCAGGGCAGGGGTCATGTCGATGTTGCGCACGAGCGCCCCCGCGAGCAGCCCTCAATTAGCTTCTTCTACAATCCTTCCATACGCCTTCTAGAAGCGTGCCATTTCCGCATCCCCCGCTGCACCTTTGCGTGAGGTGATCCCACTTGTATATCAACTGTCGCACCAACAGCAGCTGATGCCTGCTCGGATACACGATTATCCACTCCTTGGCCCCTAGTCTTACCGCGACACCTGGATACCCTTCCCCACCCTCTTTTGCACCTCCGCCTGTCGTTCGTTCTAGTTTTCAGTCGTTTGGGTTGTCGCAAGGTCTTCATGGTCGGCATGTTGGAGTAGTCTTCTGTTGCGCGATTTGAACTGAGCATACGGCTCTCCCCTCGCCACAATGGAGGACAACCTAGACATACCGGAGGAGTCTATGCGACACATTGAGGCCCTGCTGGCGAGGCATCCTCCACACTTGATCCAGAGAATGTTTTCTCAAGCGATAGATTCGCGTACGTTCCTCGGTGTATTGTTTTGTGTGTACATGCTCACCAAGTCTAGGCCGCAACTCTACAGCCTCGTCATTCATGTCTACCAGCACCGCGAGTTCATCTACAACATCCTCGTCGGGGTCATCATGGCGGTCTCGGCTTTCTATGGCATCGACATTCTCTTCATCTACAGGGAGCAGCGATACGCGAAGTTCCATTGCTTCCTCTTCGTCATCGCGCTCCAGGATGAGAAGGGCGGAGCCGCGTTCCTACCCAGCTGGTCTTGATCCGACACGTCCGGTGCCGGCTTCCATGCCTGTGGTGGACACTGAGAGTCCACTCGACCTCAAGATTGAACCGAGCTACACACCGACAGACGACATTAGTGTTGCTTCCCCATCGCTGAACCCGGATGATGACAAGTCACAGAGTCAGTCAGGCGAGCCATTCATGTTCTGTACGTATTGTGCCGAACAGAAGAGCCAGAAGACGTTCAAAGCAAAGTCTGACTGGAAGAAACACGAGATGAGGATGCACGAGACTGGAGAAGACTGGCCTTGTGTCGTCAACGGTTGCAACCGCATTTTCGACCGACAGAAAGATTTCATCAAGCATCATCAACGCTACCATGCCGGTCGACCCCTGCCGTCACTTACAGACATTGGCATCACGTTGTTGCCGCGAAGAGTGTTTGGTTGCGGGTTCGACAAGTGTAAAGAAGTCAGCATCGGTTGGGATGAGCGATGCGACCACGTCGCGAAGCACATGAAGAATGGCGCGACGATGGACCAGTGGAAATACTCTAATGTGATCAGGAACCTAATACGACAGGAAGCTCTCCACGACACATGGAAAGAGCTTATCGGTTGCCTGGACGAGAGATTGCGAGAGAGTCGGTCGCAGATTAGTTGGTGTCCCGACAACTCGCGAATCCTCCGACAGAAGCTCCAGTGCTGTGACCTTCGACCGAGTCGGGAAGAGGTTTTGATTACCGCCTTGAGTCTACGCGCTGATATACCCCTGGACCCTGTGCATCAGCAGCTACCCACCGGCTTCGTAACTCCCTCGAGAGACTCCGTGCCTCATGTTGAGAAGCTGTCGCGCGAGCAGCGAATGCATATACTCATCGGAAACTCGAACCCTCATCACTCACGAGCGCGCCTCGCGAGTATCAACGCAGCTTTGCTGCGCATCAGTAGTTCGTTGGCGCACGTACCTGACTATGATTGCGGCTCGTCTCCATTTGTGGAGCCGCAGACGCCTGGTGCGCCCGCAGTGGATACGGCCAGCCGCCGTATCAGTTATATGGACGTGGACCCTGGAGATTACCTGGACGTAGCGCAACCGGCTATTCCTGATCTCCCACCGGCTATGACGACATCCACAATGCATACACCCCATGCACACCCCACGCCAGTCATGGATCACGAGCAGCATACGCAGTTGTACCAACAGGAGTACATGGACCAAGTCAAGGTTACACCCAACCCACTGGAATCACTGTATCCCAACTACTTCGGTGCTGCTCCCCAGTTCGAAGAGTCGCAGTACTACGACCGCCCGTCGTTCGGTCAAATGATATCGAAGCCGCTCCACAAGATAGGTAGTCGGATAAGCAGCTCAAGAGGCAGCTCTTCGAATCAGAGACCATCATCCCAGATGAGTCAAGCTTCGTCAGAGATGCTTCCTGACTACAGTGTTGCCGCAATGGGCATGCGTCACCCTCATCAGCATCAGCAGCCCCAGCATCACATCCCACAGCACCATCAGCATTCTCAACATCCTCAACACCCTCAACATCACCTGATGCCTCAGCAGCATCAACCCTACCGCGACACTACATCGCAAATGCATGACCACATACACATGTACACCACACAAAGCTGAAGAGCTCACGTGCAACGAAGTCTTCATGTCCCAGTACTTTCATCAACGCCCCCTTTAGTCTTTTCAAGCGAGCATTTAGAGTTTTATTCGTTACCTCATTTTTTTCTTTGATACCCCGTGCTTTCGAGCACATCTGATAGACTTGTACTATAAAGCATATTCATAGTATAGAGATGTTATTCGTGTGACGTCACTCAGTCTCTCGTCCTGCGCTTCATGCGATTGCGTGGTGAACATGCTTTGTGTTTGTTGCTGAGTGACTATCCGCCGTCCACGATCTATTGTTGATGAGAGTGTGGCTGCGCTTGGCATCGTCCGCGTGTAGTCATCCCGTTCGCATGTACCCAACGGTGTTGTTCACCGTGAGACACAACGTCGGCAAGCTCTTGTCTCAGCCTATACCCAATCACCACAGCGTTCACATATACCAACGGGACTATCGTCCCTTCCTTTTTCTTTCGTTCTAAGTGGACTTGATTCATGCGCTCAGCCGCGCATGTTTGCTCTTTCCTCGTTCACCTCGCTTATCAACGCCACTGCCTGTTACAGCCACCTTGGCAAGACCCTCACTTACCTCCTCCTACTTTCACACCCTCTCTCCACACTGCACCACTCTGACTTGCTTCAAGCTACTAACATGCAGCTACTCGATCTGCCACCGGAGCTCTTCGAGAGGGTTGTCGCCGCCTTTGCGCGTGCAGCGCCCTTCCATGAGCTAATCCGACTGCGCGCCGTGTCCCGTACACATTGATGTTCGTGACAGTTATGGACGGTGAAGCTAATTGGGACAGGTACATTTGCCGGCGACATCGACAATGAACTTCTTGCGAACACGTCTGTTGCGGACTTCCATAATCGGTACCATCAACGCCAGCCGATCCCTGTTAGCCTTGATATTCATAACCCTCTACCTCCTCTGCATCAGCTATACGTTATATCGCGTTATAACAAGGATGATGATACCGACTCGATGGGTACGCTCCCATCTGACATTAAGGGCTACCTTTTGAGCAACATCGAAACCTATCTGCTCAATCACATCGGAGATACAGATATCATAGCCTCTGGACTGCCGAGTTTCATACACAAGGTCACGAATAAGCTCATGGAGTTCGCTACAGCAGGCACTGATCGTTCTGTTCTACGACAGGACTATTCGAAGGCACTTATCCATGGTTTAGTCCTTACGAACGAAGTTGCCCCACGGACTATGTTCGAAATAAAACCATTGCCGTTGGACTCCGTCTTTACATCAATCTTCAGACCCGGTTCGCGCAGCATAGCGGAAAGGGAACGGGACCATCTCAACTCCTCACAAGAGAACGTCAATGACATGCTGGCAGCAGCAGCTACAGTAGGGAGTCTCGCAGCTGTTCGTCACTACATTTCGCAATCTGCTGAGGTTATTGATTGGTTCCCCAAATACTTTGCTGGCTTTGGTAACCCTTTAACCGCAGCAGCCTGCAGTGGAAATGTCGAAGTTCTTGAGTGTCTGCTCATAGTAGTCAACAATGAGCTCACGAAGCGGCGTTTCGCTCGGATACAGCAGGGTCGTACCACCTGTTGCGGTCCACTCACAGAGACTATCACTTCCGCAATAAGATTCGCAGTTCGGACCGGAACACTGAGGGCCGTTGTCACACTGTTTAATTTCTTGCCAAGATGCCGCGTTGAGATACCAGCGCATATGAAGTCCCGGTCACACTACCTTGCCGATGCCATGAGGTGGGGACATATGGACTTGTTCATATGGCTCATGGACCGATGGAATCCTCTAATCGCCGATCTGCCCTATTGGAATGCCCTGACTGCAGGCTTACGCCTTGCGATCAAATATGGTCATATCAACATTGTGCGATACGTCTTCGACAAAGGTTTGGTAAATCCAGATGATGCGGACGTCAACACTGTGCTCATCGCTGCCACACACGGTCATCGCGCTATCATACAACTGGCGCTTGACCGAGGCGTTCAGCTTACGATGCAGGACCTCATCGCGGTGCTGAATGGATCACTTCCCTTGCTCATCACCCAATATCTTTTGCTTCACAACGTTCCACTCACGTCTGTGACCAACGAGGAAGATGGAAGGTCCATCACTACTTCCATCGTTCCTATAGTCGAAGCGCTCTGTCGAGAATCTATCCACATTCCTTTCGGCGATTACAACGAGGTTCGGGGCAAGGAAAAGGTGCTGGCGCTCATACTCTTGACGAGCGAGATGAGACGACAAATTCCAGAGCTGACGTTGGACAACTGTGTCGAGCTCAAGAAGGTGTTCGATAGGCTGGTCAGGGAGTGTCTGGGCTTGCCAAGGGGGTCAATTCCGTATCTTAAGATGGTTGAAGAGCTGCACAGCTGGATGGAGTGGGGAGACGGACGAGAATGGGCAAATTGTGAAGTCTAGCGCAGAAGCATACGAAAGACGCACCCCAGACAAGGAAAAACCTGAACAGGTTTGCAGACTACACTATTTCAGGACATGCAAATTGGAAGGCTCGGCGACAATGAAGGCTCCAGAGTATTCGGTATTTTCCTTGTATGAAGTGGGTATACTGGGGAGCCTGAGAGGGAAGTGGACCGTTCTAAAACGTACAATCATATTCCTTCAGTGGGGTGACAGAGGCAGTTAATAAGTGTGGCACCTCCGAGTTACATTCGTACTAACTGTCTTGGTTCGTGACACTTCACTGACCCCTGCTGGCTAAGATATCTGCAAGTAACGGCAGACGGCGACAAGCGGGTCTAAACTCGTGTACCATGGGTCTGGGACACTGGTAGCGGATATAAGATGCAGGGAGAATTCGCGGGCTTCTATGCATGATTAAGGACGACATGGATTAATGGGAAAACAGTGGACTTTTGCAGAATGCCTGACTGTCCAACTTGTCCCTGGCAAACCGGGGCTCGCCGAGTGGTCGAAACCAATAACAATACAAGATTATACCATGCAGTCCGCGAATGTACGGAAGTGAAGTGACTGAAAATAGACGCGAGAGGGAGACAGGTCGACGGACCGATTGCGCCTATATGTGGCTTACCTAACACGGCGCCTATCCGACCATCGTCATACACGGTCCCATGTACCAGGCGCGTGTGTATGTCACCGTTAGCCTTCAGCTCGCAGTTCTTTTTCGGTAGACCCTGATCATATTCGATCATCATCTCCTCGCGAAGTTATGACACCCACTCGGTCAGCCCGAATGCCTTATTTCTTTGCATGTCCAGACGGGCATTGCTAGACGACAGGGCACATGTCTTCAATGGAAGGCTTGGACTGGCTGTCAAGGCTTTGCCTCAAGACATGGCAACCACCGAAGCTCGACGAAGGTTGCCTCGGCAATCCTTGCAAGGCTTACTTGGGCGGACGGGAACGCGGTTATGCGGCACCGTAGTTCGTGAATACCGATACCACGCTCTGCCATCCGCAATCTTGTAGCTCGCTGTGAGGGCGTGGTTCTACCACGAGGTAAAACGGCGTAATGTGATTGGATGCCGAATTAGCGGCGCTCGCGGTGGAGAGAGCGATCTGGGGTTATCAGAGATTTCGCAGGACGGAGGACCAGCTTGGCGTGGGGCTGGGCGGACTGGGCGCCAAGGGAACGTGGTACAGCGTCGAACGCTCGTTCGTTCACCTTGACTTGGTTACACCAAGGCGATGGCGAAGACCCGCGACAAGACACAGTGGAGACTTAACGCGACACCAACATGCCATGCGGGTGGATCGAGCCCTGGGGGTTCCGTAGACCAATCACATGTCTCGTGCACCCGAACGCTCACCCCGGAGCGACGCTGAGGGTCCAGAAAATAGGTGCTGTTGGGCATTTGGACCACGGCCAGAGCCGAATAGCATGATATTGTGGCTTCGATGATCCACCGCGCCTCGAACAGGCAGGCAACACCGTCTGACGTCCACAAAAGTCCACTTGCAGTGAAATGTCATCTGCGCCGCCAAGATCCCACGCCTCCGTTTGTATGCTGTGTACTTAAGCTCCCCTGCACTCGTTCAACCAAACAGTCAGGACACCTCACAACACCTCACCTTTTCAGTCAACCGGCGCAACTGCTCGCCACTCTTCACCCACAATGGCTCCCGCCTTGAAGAAGTACGACTGGATCCTAGCGATCACCACCATCGCCTTTGTCGCCTCGTCTGCCTCCAACGGTGCCAACGATGTCGCCAACTCCTACGCCACGTCCGTGGCTGCGAGGACCTTGAAGATGTGGCAGGCTGGTATTCTGGCCTGCTTCACTGAGTTCCTCGGTGCTGTCGCTCTCGGATCCCGAGTCACTGGAACCATCAAGAGCGGTATCTTCGCCCTCGACACCTTCAAGCCTGTCCCCGGTACCCTCATGCTCGCCATGGGTTGTGCTGAGGTCGGATCCGCCGTCTTCCTTACTGTCGCTACCATCGCTGGTATGCCCGTCTCGACCACCCAGACCGTCGTTGGTGCTCTCGCTGGTGCCGGTATTGCTGCTCAATCTCCTCTCAGTTGGGGCTGGAAAAAGGGATCCATCTCCCAGATCGCCGCCTCATGGGTCATTGCGCCATTCCTGTCCGCCGCCTTCGCTGCCGTCCTCTTCTTGACCATCAAGTTCGGTGTCCACAATCGCAAGGACCCCTTCAAGTGGGCTATGCGCCTGGTTCCTTTCTACCTGGCTTTCACCGCTGGTGTCCTCGCCCTCTTTATCATTGACGAGCTACCAAACGGCGAGTCTCTCGAGGAGATGGGCGCTGGCAAGGCCTGCGGTATCATTCTCGGTGTCTTCTTCGGCATGCTTGCCATCGCTTACATCTTCTTCATCCCTTACTTCACCCGCCGCCTTGTCAAGGGCGACACCAGACTGAGGGCGTGGCACATTCCTCTCGGTCCCCTTCTGTACCGCGAGAACCCTCCCATCTACTTCCCCGGCAAGGGCGACCAGGTCGTTACCGATTACTACGCGAAGGCTGCCCCTGTCCCGATCCAAGAGAACGACGGACTCAAGGGCGAGAAGGCTGTTGGCCACTCCACCTCCCTCGACAACAAGTCTTCTGACAGCGACAACATTGACGTCGAGGGTGGCCGCGGTCTCTCCCGTCCTCTTCCCCGCGATGGCGCCGTTGCTCACATTGTCCCCGCCACCCCTGAGCCTGAGGAGCGCTGGTTGAAGCCCGTCGAGCACCTTCCCTTCTACTCTCCCAAGAAGATCGCCAACTGGACCAAGTTTATCCTTCTCCAGGGTGTCTCCCGCGATGTCGTTACCCAGAAGGATCTCGCCGATGTCCACTCCCGCGCTATTGTCTACGACAACCGCGTCGAGCATCTCTGGACCTACGCCCAAGTTGCCTCCGCCATGATGATGTCCATTGCCCATGGTTCCAACGATGGTGAGCTATAATTTCTGAACTCCTCACTTCTACACACATGCTAATCCCCCTTCGCAGTTGCCAACGCTGTCGGCCCATGGGTCGGTTCCTACAACACCTATACCACTGGTGTCGTAACCAAGGAAGCCGACACCCCCATCTGGATCCTCGTCGTCGCCGGTCTCCTCCTCGGTATCGGTTTCTGGTTCTACGGCTACCACATTGTGCGCGCGCTCGGCAACAAGATCACCCAAGTCTCGCCCACCCGTGGTTTCAGCATGGAGCTCGGCGCCGCCATCACCGTGCTCCTTGCTTCGCGTCTCGCTCTCCCCGTCTCCACCACGCAATGTCTCACTGGTGCCACCATTGGCGTTGCGCTCTGCAACTTTGATCTCAAGGCTGTCAACTGGAAGCAGGTCGGCTTCATCTTCTCCGGATGGATTATCACCCTGCCCGGTGCTGGTCTTATCTCCGGTCTTCTTATGGTTATGGCGCTTAACACGCCCCATTTCTAAATGTCAGCTAGAGCTTTCTCTTCCTTTGGCCAGTTTGATCAGGTCCCTTTTTGTTATGCGATAAATGCACGGATGGGCATGATATGGAGTATGATACCAATCGTTTAATGTACCAAATTGTAATCTATAGAGTTACACACTATGAGTCTCCCAAGAATTCCGCATGTGATGAGTGATTGTAGTGAATTTCCAGCTCGAGGGAAGGAGCGTTTTGCTTGCAGTCCCAGAACTGGATCAAGAGGTGTCGTCTCAATGCCCTCATCCGCTCGGTGATTTACTCGGCCGCAATGGATTACTGAACGCAATTCGCCACATCGTACCGTACAAACCCGAGCAGACTCAGCGACGACACGCGCAACAATACTCATTGCAGGCAAAACCGAAGGTGTCACTCAAACCGCGCAAAGATATAAGGGTGAAAGCAGCTCGAAGCCACCGAAAACGTTGGTATTCCCCTAAAAACAGCACAGCACAGCGCAGCACAGAGCCCTGTCGGGGGAGGCTACAAATACGGTCCAGTCTACCCTGACCCATACACTGCGTTGGAATAAAAACGTGGTAAGTGTGTCAATGACACACAAACTCCATACGCCCAGCACAGAATAACACCGCCGGCCCGAGCGAAGAAAAGACAGGCTTCAGGGCCTATGCATTACATCATAAAGCGAGGCTAGAAAAGGATGGCTGAGAAGCGAATTAAAATAGCGATAAGAGGTGAGGAGGACGAGATGAGCAGACGCGACGGGGGTATGTGAGTATTGGTGTGCCTATGCGGTCTGCTTGCTGGATGATTGCTGGAGTTCGTTGACGAAAGCATCGTAATCTGCGGCGGAGGAACCTGAGCCTACTATGCTGGTAAGCCATGGATCGGACCGGCTGCTTCTTCATCTTCAATAAGCGTCTGGATTGGGGTAGAAAGAGGACGGCGAAGGGTGCTGCTGACCTTGCGGTGGCTCGTCGACCTTTTGGCGCTTCTCGGCGTAGTCGTACGAACCTTCAGAGCTGGTGTGCTTGTTGCCTGATGCGCCGTGTTGGGCGGCTGCTGCTGCTTGCGCTGCCATTTGCAGCTCGCCGATTTGGCGCTCCGAGAGTCCTCCATTGTTGTTGTTCGAGCCCTGCTGTGGTTGCTCGGGCTGTTGGGGCGGCTGTGGTGGGTTCGGTTGTTGGTGCATGTTTGGCTGTTCGTGGGGCCGGTTGAGATCTACACCAGCCGGCGCAGGTGGTATCTCGCCCTGGGTTTCGAGTAGTCGCGATTGCAGATTGATGATGTAATCGCGCAATTGGTAGTTTTCGGTTTGGAGTGTCTTGTACAGCTCGCATAGCTGCTCGAACTCCTTGACCTGGTCTTTCAGCTGCTTAATGTACTCTTCCTTACGCTGGCGGAATGCGCGCTGGTGGTGTTAGCTTGTGCCATTGGAATGCGCGCGTTGCATGTACCTGGGCAGCGCGATTCTGTGCGGCACGCTTAGATGTCGACAGCTCTCTCCGTCCCTTGGAGCGACCCTCGCTCGTGTTCCCATCGTCGGGGCCGCCGGCGCTCAT